CAAATTTTCTCGTGTCATTTGAATGCTTAAACCCTTGCTGTGATTTCATGTGCTGGAACTGTTAATTATCCCCCAGAACTCATCCATTAAAAATAGAACCCTCTCCAGCTTACAACAGATTTAACAGGGAACAAGGTTGCCCAGCTAGTGACTCTATCTCCTTGCCTCTTTGTAGCCAGGTGTGGCTCAAACCCAGTGGGTAAGGGAAGGGAGTGACTTTTGGCTCTCCCAGGCAGCTTCCTGCCCTCTACTTACTTATTCTTCCTCCTCCCCAGGGGAGCTGCCTAGGACTCAAAGATGGAGGCCACTTGTGAAGGTTAGTAGAGCTGCCCACCAATTCCGTTTGCTCTCCTCTGCTGTGTGATAGGAAAGGAGAAGAGAGTGAGACTGACTCACAGACCCACACACAGAAAGAGAGAGAGTCATTTTCTTGTTCAAGAGAGTTATTCAGGCCTAAGCTGTTCCCTAATGAATACTTTCACCATTGCACTTAGAGTAAAAAGTAAAATTCCTATTGTGGCCTCCGAGGCCCTGGGTGACTGGAGAGCTGTCTGTTCTGCCTGCCTCCTCATTTCCCCTTTTACATCTTTTCCTCCCATTCTCTATATGCCGACTCTCCTGGACTTCTTTCAGTTTTTCAGAGATGCTGAGGTCTTTTGTGCCCAAGGCCTTCACACCTTTTATTTGCTCTGTCAGAAATGTTCCTCCCTCTGCTACCCTTCACCTTGTCTTACTAACAACTAATCCTTTTTCAGATTTTAACCCTAAGTCATTTTTCTTAAGCAATTGATGTCCCTATCCCCACCCCACCCCCGCATCGGGTCACCACACCAAAGAACTGAGTCAGTTCCCACACCTAAGTGATCTAATACTACTGTAGTCCTGTCCTTAATATGTTATGAAATATTTTTTATTTAAAAATACAATATATAGGGGCGCCTGTGTGGCTCAGTGGGTTAAGCCGCTGCCTTCGGCTCAGGTCATGATCTCGGAGTCCTGGGATCGAGCCCCGCATCGGGCTCTCTGCTCAGCAGGGAGCCTGCTTCCTCCTCTCTCTCTGCCTGCCTCTCTGCCTGCTTGTGATCTCTCTATCAAATAAATAAATAAAATCTTTAAAAAAAAAATACAATATATAGGGGCACCTGTGTGGCTCAGTGGGTTAAAGCCTCTGCCTTTGGCTCAGGTCATGATCCTGGGGTCTTGGGATCGAGCCCTGCATCAGGCTTTCTGCTCGGCTGGGAGCCTGCTTCCCTCTCTCTCTCTCTGCCTGCATCTCTGCCCACTTGTGATCTCTCTCTCTGTCAAATAAATAAATAAATAAATAAATAATATGTTTAGAAAAATACAATATATATAACATACGTGTAAGTTGGTTTCCTGGATCCACTTCTTTTTTTTTCTTTCCTCTTTTTTTTTTTTTTTTTTTTTGGTTAATATTTTATTTATTTGAGAGAGAGAGAGAGAAAGCATAAGTGGGAGGGACTGAGGGCTAGGGAGACAGAATCTGAAGTAGATGCTGCACCAAGCCCAGAGCCTGGTGAGGGACTCGATCTCATGACCTTGAGATCGTGACCTGAGTTGAAATCAAGAGTCAGATGCTTAACCAACTGCACTGCTCAGGCGGCCCCTGGAGCCAGTTATAACACACATGTATGTGTGTTGATTACATGTGGTTTTATAGCTCAAATATTCCCCTAAACATATGTTACTTAGTTTGGCATGTGTGTGAACATTATAAATCTGTTGCCTTGATGTCTGTGTTCTATTTCTTGCTTTTGTGCTCATTACTATGTTTTTGAGATATTTCTATGCTAATAGGTGGACACTATTTCATTCATTTTCCATTTATTCCTACATATGTCCATTAATAGAATTTTAATATTCTATGTCATAACTCTACCACAGTTTGTTTATACATTCTTTTGTTCATGGACATTTGGCTTCTTCTAGTTATATAAACAAAAACACGTGTCTGTGTTTTATATATATATATACATATATATATACACACACACACACACATATATGTTTATGTGTTTGTGTTATGTGCACATTACAAATATTGCTGTCATGAGTACTTTGTATATATTTTTAAAAAATAAGTTGTTCCCTATTCTATTTGTGATTTCTTTTTTTTTTTTTTTTCCAGTTAGGAGCCATCAACCCAGAAGCATTTTAAATTCATTTCTCCGCTTGGGAGATTTTATTTTATTTTATTTTATTTTATTTTATTTTACCTTATTTATTTATTTTCTTCTTTAATGTAAAAATGGTGGTTTTATTAAAGCACAGGGACAGGACCTGTGGGCAGAAAGAGAGTCCTCTGCTTGGGAGATTTTTTTAGATCACATAGGTAGAATGATTTTCAACTTCAATCCTGCACAAGGATTAGATTGTAATGAAAACTTTTCAAGGAAAACTTCTTTTCTTCCATTTAGAGCCAGGATCAAGCAGATTTTTTTTTTTTTAATTTCCCTTTGAGGGGCCCTTTTTTAAGACTATAAAATCGCTGTTGTTTCCTTTGGAAAATCTTGACTATTAATTAGATTTCTCCATGTCATTAATCTCTCTAATCTGGTCCATTTGGTAGTTACCATTGTAATTCTACTTGGCGTTTTGATACCAATGGCCACAGCAGAAGCAGCCCACTGGCTTTTCCCACCATATTCCTGTAAACATTGCTTTAAAACTCTGGCTGTTTTCATATTTAAATATATTTAAATTTACTCCCTGCTGGATTAATAATTACATTTTCAAATACAGCGTTCAAGAGTTCTGTGTAGACCAAAAAGTTGAACACAGAAAGATGGGATCTTAACCTTTAACAATACAATGAAATGTGCTTCTCCAGCCGGGAAGTTCCAAAGGATGTGCCCCCTTTGATGTCTGTTCTTTGTTTCTTAAGCTGTTTTTAGTGATTCAAGCCTATAGTAATGTATCAAATTTATTTTAGACTTTCTTTCAAAATAAGAAGCAAAAGGTGAACGACTGAAAAAAACAGGTAACGTCATATAAGACTTTTGCAGGGAATAAAACACCCTATTTTCTGGTCATTTAAAAGCATACCGGGGTGGAGAGGGAATTGAGTGTGGTTAGAAGTCCTTGAAGGACTTGGCGTCCAAGCTCAGATGGGCAGGGACAACAACACGCATTAATCTAAGGGACACTCAACACCAGGCAGTGTTCCTGCTCCGTGCTTTGTGGGGGAGGGGAAGGGACTTTCTACCAGTCTGGCTTCACATATTGCCTCTATTGCTTGCTAATTGCGTGATCCCATTAAGCCTTTCAGTTTTCTTGTCTGTAAATGGAGGAATAATAATACTAATCTCACTGGATATTTATGAGGATTAATTGAAATAATAAATAGAACAAGGCCGGGCACACAATAGCTATCAATAATAGTTATTTGGTTTCCGCACGGTAGCAACCAAACCACATCATTTTTATGAAGGAGAGAAATCAAAGAGCCTCTGTAATGCTATAGAGATTGGATCATGAAGCTTAGATAAATAATAGTTTTTAATTTTTATATTTTGCAGTCACTGTAATATAGATACAATTTATTTAGGATGAAATTGTATGCTGATCAACTGACCAAATAAAGACTACATGTTTCTTAATGTCATATAACATGTCTTTTTTTTTTTTTTCCATATTGGATATTTGGAAAGAAAATAAAGTAGCTGGACATCTACCTAATTTTACTGAAATAGGGTCCAATTGAATTAAAGATTTAACTGTCAAGAATAAAGAAGACATGGGGGTGCCTGGGTGGCTCCATCGTTAAGCATCTGCCTTCAGCTTAGGTCATGATCCCAGGGTCCTGGGATCAAGCCCCACATCGGGGTCCCTGCTCAGCGAGGAGTCTGCTTCTCCCTCTCCCTCTTGCTTGTGCTGTTTTCTATTTCTAACAAATAAATAAATAAAATTCTTTAAAAAATTAAAAATTTAAAAAAAAAAGATAAAAAAAGACATAAAGATGTGGGAAGAAAGCATGCATAGAATTTTTAAAACAATTTTTTAGTGATGGCTGTTTGGCTGTGCAGGACATAATGTCTAGATACCACAATGGGTACATCATATCTGACAACATAAAAATTAAAAATTTTTATGCTGGAAAAATGAAATTCAAAGACAAGTAACAAAGTGGAAGCATTGTTGGCAGCATACATGACAAAGAAATGGGAGTTAGTACACAAAGAGCTCTTACAAATTAAAAATACCAATGTAACTTTAATATTGGAAAAATAATATGAATAGATTTCATAAAAATAAATGCAAATAATGTGCATATTTAGAATGACTTACAGTTTACTGTGATGTGGAAAAAAAGATTATGTAAAGAGTTTTTATGGGGCCCCTGGGTGGCTTAGTCTGTTAAGCAGTTAAGCGTCTGCCTTCTGCTCAGGTCTTGATCTGGGGGTCCTGGGATTTACCTGTGTCAGGTTCCCTGCTCCATGGAGAGTCTGCTTCTCCCTCTCTCTCTTCCCCTACCCCCTGCTAATGCTCTCTCTCTCTTACTCTCTCTCAAATAAATAAATAAATAAAATCATTTTTTAAAAAAGTTTTTCTTGTAAACTTCTATTTATACAAAGAAAAATAAATATAAATGTTGATATTGGATATATATTAGATAGTTTTCTGGAAAAATATCAAGAAAATATTGGGAGCTGAATCAGGGATATGAATGTGGAATAGCAGGAAGACAGGAGTCATATTTTTTTGACTTTTGATTTAATGTTTTTCTAAAAGTGTTTGAAATTTCCTCTATGCCCCTGTATGTTTTACTATAATTTAAAAAATTAATGCAGTTAACATGATGACAAAAATACATAAATTGTGAAGGGCTAAAATTAAGTAAATGTCATTAGGAGCCAGCAGATAATTTTAAGTGTTGAAAACCATGTGCTATGTGTTTTGAAAGGGAACTGTCAAAACTTGACTTTCTTGGTATGAAATGATGCATTCATTGGTGCTTAATGAGTTTTATTTTCCCCCAGACAAAGCCAAAGGAAGATCAAGAGCAGGGACCCACTTTGACTCAGCCCGGAGACGGAGCCGAGCGGTCCTTTATCACATCTCTGGGCACCTGCAAAGAAGAGAAAAGAACAAATTGAAAATAAATAATGTAGGTGGTATGTGTGTACACTGTGAATGCTAGAGTTTCCCCTTGTGCCAATATTTGATTCACTAAAGAAAGGCTCCGATTACTCATTTATTGGCTTTCCTAGATTTTTTTGCACTTTGGTTTGTGCTTTCCTATAAAGAATAAACTAGAAAAGGTCAGCAATCATAAGACATTTCTGCAATAAAAGTGCTTAATCACAGTGTTAGTACAGCACAGAGATTAGAATATTACTGTAGTCAGTACAACATGGTACAGGGGATGCTGTGAATGGGGACATACTGTTTACATTTTATGAACAAGATGGTGCACCAAGTCATAGACTACATATTCACAGCTTGTTGGTTAAAATTTCTCATATTTAATTGTAGTTCCATCTATTCTGCACTTTATCTAATTTCACTTAATGCTTTTATCTGGGAGGACCATGAACAAATCCAAGTTATGATTCCATTTAAAAAATGTACAACCTCTACAAAACAGAGTCGGCAATTTCACACCACGGAACATTGGGTTTCAAATTCTGTGCCTTATATCATATGGTTTTGTCAAAACTTGTACTCCTAGTAAATGACAGTTAGGGCTACTTTCTGCAACCTGCTTCTTTTCTGTCACAAGCCACATAACTGTGCTTCAAAAAGGTGGTCCTGTGCACACACAACTTACAGGAATTCTCTTGAATTTTATAATTAGTTCTTAGCATGGAAAGATGTCACTGAGAAACCCAGAACTCTGTCTGTTCAGTTATAGATATTCAGAGATAATTTTTCAAATGACAGTAATATCATTAATGTGCATTGTGGGGTGTTCAGAACACAACGTCTTTGCTGGGTATGTGACTATGGGTGGTAGATAGAAATACTCAGGGTCTAATTTGCCAGTGCCATTAGAAAAAGGCACATCAAACAAGCAGAGCTGTTTTGGAATCAATCCATGATCCAGAAGTTCTGAGAGTTAGGGACACAAAGGGTTTCTTTGGCTTCTTACTTTTTACACAGAAAGCTGGAGACTAGCTAATACACATGCATTGATAAAACAGCCCTGTATCAAACATACAAAGTATCTGCTTCTCTGTGGTGAACAAAGAAAGATGCCTGAACCCACCCCAAGATCTGACAAGAAGGTACAGCCAAGCTAGTTCGGCTTTGGTGTGATTTCCTTCTGGAGACCAGAATAAGCGGCTTTGATCCATTTGTGCTCTAGGACCATCGCCCCATGCTGGGGCCGATCAGCCAGGCACCACCATGAGGAGTCACACACTGCTTCTTTTGGCCTGACTTAGGATAAAGATTTTCTGGGAACACCTGTGCCTGGGTGTCGCATTGATTTGCTGAGAGTCCAGGGATAGACTTGAAAGAGTGCACACCTCTTGGTCTCTGGATCCTTCCACTGTTCCTATTGACATCTCCCTTCAGTTACTAAGCCAGCCCTAGTGACATTAAACAAGTTCCAGGAAGAAACAAAGGTAACCGCATCTGGGCTTGATTCTATGCAGGTCAACCAACAAAGCACCTAAACAAATATTAGCCAGAGATTCTGTAATGCTGAAAGCTGACACTGTCTTCTACCCTTTAGCTAAAAATCATTTAAACATAGCGAGTATTACGAAGCTTCAAAATGTGTTTGCTGAACATGCTGTTTTTCCCTTTAGATCCAACAAGATACGGAACAGCACTTAAAAATCTGATTTAAAAAACCATAATTCCCACCACTTAGCTAATTTGCCAAATTGCCAGTCATTTAAGAAATACAAACATGAGGGGGGAACATTAAAATAATAGTAAGTGAGGATGTCTAATCAAACTGATCTGGCAATACAGGTAGTATATTTAGAATTAAGATACAGGTAGTATCTGTCTCTCTCTTTTCAAGGAGAACAGAGTAGAAAGGCTAAAGACAGCAGGAAGAGAGAAGGACAAAGAAGAAAAAATGATCTGGATCATTTATCAGCTGAACCATCCATTTGGGGGGAATTCTGATTATAGTAACATTCACACACAAATTCTCAATATTTTTACAACTCTTTGCTATTTACAAGTTCCTTTCACTTAGATCGTATTATTTGATTTTTATGGTAAGCCAGTACTAGATATGATTTTTATTAGTTCCACTTTAATGATGGAAAAGAACTTATTCAAGTTCTCAAAAGTGGAAGCAGGATGTGGGACCCAGCTGTGTGTCTTCTGACTCAAAGCCACTGTGCTTTGATATGGTTCTGTGGAATAGGAATCTATGATTCAACCATACGCAAATGAGCTCATCAGGCCATTAGCCAGGTTTGAGAATCAGGATGTAACACCTTTTAGTCCTGGCTCTGACCACCTGGTACAGCATAGAAAAGGCACTTAATTTCTGCTGTCCTTGATGCGTTACTCTGTTATACAACAACGTAATGATGTAAAGGTGTCTAACAGAAGGAAATGTAAAGATCACATGAGCTTGAGAGGAGAGTGCTTTCAGAACCCAAACATTATGAGCTGGGTACCAGTGGTCCTCAAAGGGTAAGGCAAACGCTTTCCTGGGACTTGGTGCAGTGATTATAGAAACATTTTCCCATCTCCTTGCTCATTCAAGTTAGTTTCAAAGAAAAGTTACAAAAATCGTTTAGGAAACAGTTACCTTAGGTAGGCTTTGGCTTTAACCATTGTGTTTCAAAAATGTGTAGAGGTTTAAGAGCTAAAACACCATTGGTACTAAAGAATATGCTTCGAAATTAATAAACGACATATAACTAAAATTCAGAATTGTTGGTTGCATTTTTCCTTAGGCAAACCCCAGGTCTCAGGGTTATAAATAATAGATCTCTTTTCCCCCAGCTTGCTAAAAGCTTACTTTGCAATTATAAGAAATTTTCTTCCATTCGAAAGGCTTTTGATAAAACTTGACGAGTCTAGTTGTAAGAGAAGAGGAGCATCTCTATTTTTTACTTAAGCGAAGTACCATGATGTGAAGCATTTGAGTCAAAAAACCCTTCACAATTTAAGCCTAATTCTAGATATAATGAATTCTTAGTATCTTTTAAAATAATTTCAAGGAATATGTTTTAAGTACCCTATAAAAATGAAATAGTGTGATTTATTTTCTGACTTATGGAGATAACTAATACATATTGTTGACTTTTTGTGTCAACATGACTAATGCTTCATGTAATCAGCATATTCCAAGGAAAATACTTCCTGAGTTTTCCTAATCCTCTCTCCTAGAGCTGGCATCTCCCTCAAATGAGGTAAAGTTTTAATCTCTGTAATATGATAGCAAAAGACTTACTCAGATAGCAATTGAGGCATTCCCCCATGGCTTCTCTACGAATGTCTTATATTTGAAAAAAAAAAAAAATTATATGAGAATCTATCATGTCCTTCTGTAAGCAGAAGTACTTATCAACCTTTAGGTGGTTAATACTTACTGACCCTAACTCTATCTTCTCCTGTACACTTACCTAAACCTTAATGAGAAGCCCAACAGGTGTTTTATGCCAAAGCCCACCCTTTACATTTGCTTCTGAAAACCAGAAAATGATGCGAAAGAGGCAGGTCAGGTTTCAGGGAATTAAATAGAACAGAGATGCAGTGGCAGATGGGTATCAAAGAACCTTCTGGAAGTAGTGAAGTAGTCCCTCCCCACGAAACCCTGGCATTATGAGGTGCCTGTATGGGTTGAGTGAGAATATTAACAGGGAAGCAGAAACTTGTTGGGAATGCCTACCAAGGAGAAAGGTAAAATAGGGAGTAAGTTACTATCAAGGTAGCAAAAATATTTGGTCCCTGGTAGTTACCACTGAAGAGCTAAGTATTCCTGAAGGCTCTGACCTTTCTTGAATCCTCAAGTACTTCAGGAATCCCTGAACATTACACATGAATTTGCCCTTTCCTCAATGGCTGAAACAAGAAAACATACTGTGACCTGCAAGCCACATGTATTCCAAAACTTAAAGCTGTTCACTTCATCCAACTTAACTTTCAAATTTAAGTTTCCATTACCGATCTTGTGTTTCTCATTAATTGAGGTCAAAGCAAGGTCTGCAAGTATCTGGTCATAGGCTTGTCAAATTTCCACACATGCTATTGTTGGGCCTCTGTTTGTCTCATAGCAATAAAGAATTGTTCATCAATTTGGACTGCTTTCTAAATGAAGTGCTTTCACAGTTATAAAACTCCAACGATTCTGCATTTAATCAGCTGTGCAGTGAAACTGCCTTTCTCCTCTTCTGACTTGAATAACTCTTAAGTAACCAACCATGTCTTACGTTAACATCTCTGCAAGGGCTAGCCAGTGTCACGATGAATCCATGCCAGTGAAGGGTATGAGATCCGGGCTCCCAACTTGAAACCTCATCAACAGCCGCAAGGCAAAATGCAGGTGGTGAGCACAACCTGGTTGTATTTTGAAAGAAATGTAGATAGCTGTTAACCATACAATGTTGATCATATATCTCTCTACTTTTTGGGAAGAAAAAATGGTACCTTTGCTATTATTAGAAGAATTACCCGTCCAATATACCCTTTAGATAAGGACTGTCATCTAGAAACTACAAGAATATGGAGTGTCCCCATGGCCGTCGGAATGGAAATGTATCTTTTTGTTTTCAGCGTGTAAAGGATTACACTTGGCAACTGTGGGTGTTTATAGGTGACATTTTAAGTAATGAGCAATTGTTCTAAATGAACAAAGTCTAGATTATTCACTTACCGCTTATGACTAAATTCTGCACATTCCTGTTACTTAGAGCGAAGGTCTCTGCTCAGCTTCAGTATGTGCATCTCCACTGTTGGCCTCCCCACCTTCTAAAAATCACTTGTAAACATGCATTGGCCTTGTGTGTAGGAACGGTCCTCCTCACAGAAGTGCGTTTAAGGCTATGTGATCCTTGCTTCTAATGTTGTGTCTCCCTTCTCTCCTTTTTGTCTTTATCCACAGAATGTTTTTGTAGATAAACCAGCATTTCCGGAGTATAAAGTTTCCGATGCAAAAAAGTCCAAATTCATACTTTTGCATTTTAGCACTTTTAAAGCTGGCTGGGACTGGCTTATTCTGTTGGCGACGTTTTATGTTGCCGTGACCGTACCTTACAACGTTTGCTTTATTGGCAACGATGACCTGTCCACGACTCGGAGCACAACAGTCAGTGACATTGCAGTGGAGATTCTTTTTATTATAGGTAAGAACCAACGGCTGCTTTCCTAGAGGATTTGCATAGAGGAAGTAAGTGTGTTCCAGATTTTTCTGACATGAATTTGAGCTAAGATCCATTTGCATGGGCATGACTAAGCCTCGGATGCAAATTTTGGAGAAACGCATATTTGGATTTCTGAAAATTGCCTCTTCCAGCTTTCTCACTGTTCCTTTAATCAAACAGGTCTAAACTCATGTTTTGTGTGTCTATCCCTGTGTTGTCAAAAATGGGCTAAAAAAGGCTTAATGGCTATTTTGTTGGTACTCTCACATCCATCATGATCTTAATTGCACAAGGTCAGAGATGGGGCTTGGCCAAAATCCATCAGTGGTCTGATAATGGTCCAGACTTGGGCTTGGTTCTCCATTCCCTTCCATGCCTTTGTGGCATGTTGGTGGCTCTTGTCATAGGTGGCCTGGTTGCAGAAACAAAGGATTACATAAGCCTTCCAGTCAATCAGGAGAAGCAGAGAGTATCTGATTTTAACTTAAAAAGAGGCCCCAAGAGATGCTTGCTAAGAATATTCATCTCTAGAATATTGGGAACCTCAGCTGAAGCTCTCTGTGCTCTACTCTTATAAGCCTCTTATTTCCCTGTCCCTTAAATATTTATCTGTTTAGATCAAAGCCCAGCTCTTTCTTGTTCATTTTAAGACAAATCCTATAACTCCATTAAGGCTTAGATTGACTCCTTGACTCCCTGTAGCGGTGTGGGGTGTGTGTGTGTGTGTGTGTGTGTGTGTGTGTGTGTGTGTTTTAGATCCTTAAGAAATTGCAAAGGTAGTACAGAAATGTCCCTTGTCCGTTAGTTCTGGACCATCACTGGTAACCTGATACCTGCTTCTTTACCTAGTCATGGTGATATAGGGCAACATCCTTATTGTAAAGATGAAAAAAGTGTTTGGAAAATGTTTTCAAGCATCTAGGTGAACAAAGGAATGAGAAATGGATCTTAAAAGTTCAAGGAAAGAAAATAAATGAGGCAGGTCCAACCCTTATTTCAGTGGTGATGGTACTTTTTTCTCTGTGCAGCTGATAAAGCTTTGGGACCAGAGTGGGTTCTCTAACTGAATGTCAGCACATTTCATCTGGATGAGTTTGTATGCTCTTGGTGTGGCTTTGACACCATTATTACCATTGCATTTACTGGGAACCCCCCCTCAAAGCTGTTAGGACCCCTGCTTCCACCCCAAAAGTGGTGGCTATCGTATGTAGTATGTATATACCACTAGATGGCGATGTTGTCCACTTGGGTAGCTTGGCAAGGCTACAAAGTCAAGGAAATAGATCTGTAATTTTTTTTTTTTTTTTTTTTTAACTAAACCGTTCTAAGTTAGAAATGTGTAACTGTAGTAAAGGGTTACTGGTCAATGGCAAATAACAGAAATCACTGGTCAATGGCAAATAACAACATTCCAGCTTGCACACATTTGGGTGTATCCATAAGCAAATCCGCTATGGTTTTATAAACTTTTTCTTTGCTAACCTTCCATGACTTCTCCTACCCACCCATGACATGTGCATAAATTAGCACTCTAAAAAGACTCCCTATGACCCATTCAAAATTCTCAAGAACAAGAACAGTCACTCAACATGTTTATTATGCCTGAGTATCTGCTTAACAAATATTTCATGTCATTATTATTAATAATGTTATTATTTACAACTCTGTCATAGGGACATGGTTATATCTTGAAGTTTCCATTTTTCCTTGTTCTTAGATACTTGAAATTCTATGGGCTTAGAATCCGCTTCTGTACTACAGGCTCACTGGCCGATGATGATACATTTACACTCAGAACTGACACGAGAAAGATAGTTTATACAATTTTGGAGGGTTGAATTGGTTGGTTGGCTTTTTTTTTTTTTTTTTTTTTTAAGGCTGTTTTCTTCTACTAAACCAGGAAGTCTCCCCCTGCCAGTTGCCCCTAAATCTTCTGTGTTCTTTGTAACTGACATCTCTGCTCTGCTGGGACAGCAAGATGATTTTCTATGTAGGCAATACCCACTCCTTCCTAGTAGCATGACAAAGAAATGGAAATTCACTCTTGTTTTTAATGCCGTTTACCTTCTATAAAGATTATGTTAGAATTTGAGATTTTTGGCCTGCCAACAATTTTAGAGGGATCCCAGTCTGGAATGCCTTCTTGAATGACATATTTTCATAAGCAGTAAAAACTTGATTGCTCTGTTATGGCTGTCTTCCTGCTCTTTTCCTTTTAAATGAGTTGAAACGTATCTAAAATTTATTTTAACAGATTTGGAAAAAGAGTTGAAAATTTCTCAAAGAAAATTTCCCAGAACATTTATTCTATGAAATATTTCACAAAGGTGACCTAACAATGATCACTGAGAAATAAATCAAAATAGTAAGAATAAGAGTGCATAGCCTGTAATACTGTAATTTTACAATACTAATAGGGCAGTGCTTGTACCATTTAATAGTTACCAGGTTGGTATGGGTAGCAAAATCTATATGCATATTTAACATGTTCCTTTTCTATTTATAGAATAGTGTTATTAAATCGGCATCTTATAATCAGCTGGTCAGAAATGTTAAAAAGTAGTTTAAAAGAGGTTTGGGAAGGAAAGGCTTTCGTATAGCAAAACATGATGCTTTCCAAACATCTTATTTAAACCACTCTATACAAATGTAAGGTGATGGGATTATTTTCTAAATGGGGAAAATGAAGTGTTCCATGAAAAAAGAATATATAGTCAAAATGAAACTTGAAAGATAATCTCTTTTGGTAACTCAAAGTGTGCATTAGCTTTGTAAATCCTCCAAGAAATTCAATGATAAAGAAATGTTTAACTGTGATTAATCCAGCACCTCCTAACGTTATTTTTTACTTCCCAACTCATTCCTCTCCAGGCCACTAAGTAATATTCTTTCGGGAAGACAGACTTAGAAATATTATTTCCTGCTAAATTCACTATAAAGTATCTGAGTATTATTATGTTAGTCAAACTATAAAAACTAATGGTGAGTTTGAATCTCCCCTAACTACTCTCTTCATCTTAAAATAAATTGCTCTGTAAACCACATTAATTCTTTAGGATCAATAGGGCACAAGGTTTGACTGTAAGTTACAAAGTGGTTATAAAATTACTTTTAGTTTGAAAGTCATCATATATAATTTAGCTGCTGACTCAAAGTCTTACAGAAACTTGCAATGGGAAGTGACCTACTAGTAATTTATCTAATCCAATCTTTCTTACTTTATGGGTGGGAAACTGAGCCCTAGTGATATGCGCAAGGCCCTATTACTAATTGGTGGCACATTCAGGTCTCCTGGTTATCAGATCAGGTTTCTCAAGGGTTGATAACCTATGTGATTTCATTTTCTGAAAAATTCTACTCAACTTGCCTTCTTTTATTTATAGCAATGAGACAGAAAATGAGAGAAAGAAGTACCAACTTCCTTCTCTTTCTTCCATGAATGCAGAAATTAATAGTTTTAATCTTTGAAATCTTGGTGGCATAAATTGTGGTAGGCCCATAGATCCAATAATCACTTACCTCTTACCCCTTTTCCTTATCAAAAACCCAAAGAGCCCAATTTCATGCACGTAGCGGTATCCCAGACCTAGGGAATGAATTACGAGAATTTCAAGCCAGTTTCAGGTGTAGGAGTAAGTTATGTTCTATCCAATAGGATATATAGAGATTGTTTCTATGGGACTTTATGGAGATTATTTTTTCCCCTGAAAAAAGAAGAGAGACATATGGGGGAAAATATTTGTGTCCCTCTCTCTTTCTTTCCCCTAGGATGTGTGGATGGAAGGGTAGGATGTGTGGATGGAAGGATATGATGGATTGTAATTTCTGCAGCCATCTTTAATCCTGAGGAGAGACAGAGGGAAGAAGATGTGGAGTCCTTATTGAGTGATATAATAATGTTCCTTTTATGGGGGCGACTATTATTGGACATTTTGTTATTGATAGCTATATCATTCTAAAATTTTTTAAAAAAACCACTGCTCTGTCATCTGTGACCCCTTGCACTGAGCCATTTCAGAGGTTCAATGATAAATCCTTTCCAGAGGAGCAGAATGCTCTTTCTTCTGTCATTCCACTGTGAGCCTCTCTAGAATGCAGTTTGTGCATACTACTTACTAGCTGTTATGATCACACAGGCTTAGTGGAATCATATAGACTGTGCCATAATGCTGTAACTCTGACTTGCTTTCTCTAAGAATCCTCAGAAAGCTAAAAGTCCAAGTAAACAATGGTATGCAATAGTACTATCTGTTTACTCTATATTCCCCTTAGTCATAAAAGGACAGTTGAGAGTCATGGGGGACAACGGGCAGTCATACATCATGTAGACCATACTGGCCGGGACTGAACACCTAGCATCCTTACTACTGACTACACACCACCGGTGCTCCCCAGTTATTATGAAAACCCAAACACCCCATACATATTTAAAAGGTAATACTTCCTCAGTGTTATGTTTTTAAGGTTATACTTCGTGCTGATTTAGGTAATTCTATTTCACTGGTTCTCAGTGGGACTTTAATTCATTAATCAGCACGACCATCATTTGGTGTTTAATGCTTTTAGATCACAATTTACTTATCTACAAATGATTGTACCCCAAATAATGAATAGAACTCCTCTACATGTAGTTTGTCTTATGAGTATATTTTTATGTTTTCATTTCTGGTTATTTTATTTTTTCCTCCCTCATAATGCTTTATTAATTAATGCTTCTATTCATTTACCTGTCACTAAATTTTGCTATCTCAGAGTCTTTATTTCTTCTTATTATTTAATTACTATTATAACCTTGTGATGTAATTAACACAGGTGTATCTGTTTATATATAGGAAGGAAAAGAGAGAAAAAAGTAAGCAGTTTATCCAAGTTCTAGCTGATTACTGACCAAGCTAGGACTAAAACCCTAAACCCATTTGTACAATGGGTAGTAGCATTATTGTGAGGATTTAGTGAGGTTATTGTATTAAGAAATAAGTTTA